ATCACTTGGAATTTTCGCACAATAAACAGCAAGGTTTTGGCTAAAAGTGGGGAAAGTTTCATAAGAATCCGAGCGTTGGCTGATTTTAGGAAGCTGTTCATTTTGCACGTAAATTTTAAAAATTCAAGCAACTTGTGGTGGAGCTTTAAAAAATCGAAACCTCCCAATAACTCAAAGCAGCAACTTGATATATTGGAATAGGAAAGATGAAGGTTTGAGCCACATTTTTAGGAACTGTTACGAAAATAAAAGTGTAGCCTACTTTTTCAGAAGCCCTTGAACTTGAGCAAAAAATTCAAGAATTTTTTATTTGCGGTGAAATCGTTAATCGGACTCAACTAAAAATTGTAATTCTCAAAACTGTGGAATGAATAACTTGACATTTTTGCAGAATAAACTGGACGGTTTTAGCTAAAAACTGGGAAGGTTTGATAAGAATCCGATCGTTGCCTGATTTTAGGAATCTTTTGAACTTGGACGTAAAATTCCTCATCTTCAGCTTCTCATGTATGAATGAAGTAGTTTTCAACAAATGCTAGTTCTTCAAAAGAGCTTATTGCTATATTATATACTCTCATATACACTTGAACTAGAATAGGAATGTTATTGGCAATGCGTTGAAGTATTGCATACATGCAATCTGTGTCAAGCGGGCAATTAAGCGTAGAAAAATGGACCTGATATGCCAAAGCGGGTTTTTCTTTAGGTCAGTTTCTTGCATAATTGCACCATTATGCGTCTTCACTTGATGGAACTCACTTGGTCGCGATTCTTTCACAAAAATCTGAACAGTCAGCAAACCGTAGTGTTGCGATGTGGCTCTCATTTTGGGCTGTCGCATTTTTCCTTCGGTTCTCAGAGGCAGGTGTTTCAGGTGAGTGCCTCTTAAGCAACTCAAGCACAGTTCTGGATAAACCATTTACAGATGCTCAGTATGGGTTGATGCCCGAGCTGTTTTATCTGGACAATTTCGATCAGTGCATGCTCAAAGGGGAGGCGGCTTTATTTTGCGTGTTTACCTTCGAGTTAGGGCCTACACCCGATACCAACAGCAAAATATGGGAGATAATCAAGGTGATCATTAGCAGAAGAAAAATTGGTCCATTGGAAGCGAATTTTAGCTGTTGCTTTCAGAATGTTAGCGACAATCCGCTCAACTACAGACACGATCAGTTGCGGCATGGAATTTGCGTGCCCGAAACCTGCAAAACCCATTATAATGATTCCTCAAACACCATCACTCAGGCCATTCAAGCTTGCTACAATGAGAAACTCCAGACTCTCGGACTGGGAGGAAATGTGGTTTTCCTCCATTGCCAAACGCCGCATTCAGACTATCCGGTTGATGTTTATGACATAGCTTTTGGGTATGCTGAGGGATTTAGCTTAGAAGACGAGATGGTGCAGGCAAACTTTTCTCAATGTCGGTGGAAAGACGTGGAAATGCGCGCACTGGCCAGGGAATAAACATTGACTGCCTGCACCAGCACAAAGCTCATAGTTTTGCTTCGTCCCCATCAATCGTTTCATGTGTTTCAGAGCCATATTGTTTGTGTACTGCGCTTTTGTGGTTTTTGCCTCCATCTACGAAAGGCATTTGGTAGCGGGTGGCGAGAGCAAGTACCTGGTGAACAGCTCAAAGAATGGTACGATTTGACTGGAAGTTTCCCCACTTACACTCAAAATAATTGTAGAGTTTGTAGCGTTTCAAAGCACCGGAAGCGATAGGAACACTTACACCGTTCCAGTCCAAGCAAAGTCCAATTCCAAGAAGAATTTGCTTCAAATTAAACGCTCAGGTTTGAGTAATTGATTTTTACAGTAGTGAATAACGCATGCATTAAAACTCTTATCACGTAGTTTGTAAAGGGAAACTGAAAATTTTAAATCTGTTGCTTGAAATGAAGTCAGTTTCCTTGCAACTTTTTGGTGTATAACCGCCGAAATGTTGCTTATAGGCTTGTCGTTTGCCACGTATGTTCGCCGTTTGGGCCTACTATGCTGAATTTTTCAATAGCAGCGTCACAGCAAAAGCATTTTGTTAGGTTCTCTTGGCTGCAGACTATGCAAGTGTCTTTTGAAAGAATTTCTAATCATTGAAAAAGTTACAACACTTTTTTTGTTTTTTAAAATTCGTGTTTTCGAGCTAGCCAAAATCTCGATGCCTGTTGAACTTTGTGGAAAATTTTTGGTCAGGCGCGAGGACAATAACAAAATGTGATTGGATTCACATTGAAATTTGCTTGAAAGTTTTTTGTTTCTTTGTTATTTTTGGGCTTTAATTAAGCAACTGAAAATGAAACAAAAGGCTATTCAGAAAAATGGAATAAAGTATAAAAAAATTCACGAAATAATTAAAGGCCCGATTTGGAATTTAGGAATAGTTAGCGATTTCGATTTGATCACTGGAGGGATTTTAGAAAAAGTTAAGAATTTGGATTGAACTATTGAAAAATTTTAGCAGTAGCTAAAAATGTTGTTCGATTATTGAAAAGTTCAAGGAGTAATTAGGGATTTTGATTTAATTATTGGGAAATTTCAGACAGCCAAAAATTTCGACTTAATTATTTGGGAAATTTCAGAAACAGCCAAAAATTTCGATTCGATTATTGGGAAATTTTAGAAACAGTTAAGCATTTCGATTTAACTATCGAAACATTTTAGAAGTAGTCAACAATTTTGATTTTGATTTACTCTAAGATTTAACTGTTATTCGCTCTAATCTGCTGAAGTAAAACTGCTGAGCTTTTGAGGTTTTTAGGCCGTCATGGAAAACAATTTATTTTCCTTGAAAGACGACAACGAATTTTTCCACAACCTCTTAAAGCACCAAAAACTGAACAGTTTCAAGCAAAGACCCTGATCTCTATTGAAGTGAATTCATAATCTAAAAGCATTTAAAACAAGCATTATAAGCTCAGTTGTTTCTTGTGTTTTTCACTCAGCAACTTTTCCACGCGAATTTCAGCCTTTGTTTCTTCTTCAGTTAATCCGGTGTATGGATAAAATGGTTCTTCCACTTATTCAGCTCCATTTTCTTACAAAATATCAAAGCTTGGCTGATCATCAGCTCCGTTTTCCGTGTCGCGTTCAGCATTTTGCGACACTCACACGTTTTCAAATGATTAATTGAATTAATAGGAATGGGTGTGTACACACTGGATGGAATCAAAAAATCGGTTTTTTTGTATTGAAGTGTGTAATTTTTGGTCTTTTTCAAGCCTTCAAAGGTATATTTGGCCAAATGTACCTTTGAAGGCTTGAAAAAGACCAAAAAATACACACTTCAATACAAAAAAACCGATTCCTTGATCAAATGAAGCAAACAGTGGAATCACTTTGTTTCCCCTAAGCTAATTTTTGTTTCCGGAATGGATAACTTTTTGATCCAGCGATTCAAGTGTAAAAGTAGCAAACGGTGGCGAACGAACCGTTTTAAGAGCTGGGCAATCATCAACCAAAAGTAAACGTTCCCTACAACTTTTCTTCAGTTCTTCATCTCTTTCAAGATATTCGTCTTTGTGCCACTTTTAAGCGTCTAATTTTGGCGCAAAATTTATATGAATTTTTCGTTTTCCGTATCAAAGTTCTGGGCTTCTACTGTTTGCATCTGGTCAACTCTTCCTTCCACATTTTCCAAAAAATCGTCCTACTCTTGCGATTTGTCGACAAAATCAAGACTTTTAGAAAGTTTTTCTTACAACTTTTTGGCGTATAACCGCCGAAATGTGGCTTATAGGCCTGTCGTTTGCCACGCAGGTTCGCCGTTTGGGCCTACTATGCCTACTATGCTCCTCTGGGGTGCAGATTTTGCATGTGTGTTTTAAAGAACTAACCACTTTTTCTGTTTTTTCAAATTCGTGTTTTTGAGACAACAAAACTCTAGATGCGTGTTGAAGTTTGTGGAAAATTAATGGTTTCGTAGAAACCCGATTAAAAATAGTCAAATGTGATTGGATTCACATGGAAATTTGCTTGAAAGTTTTTTTGTTATATTTTGGCTTTAATTAAGCAACTGAAAATGAAACAAAATGCTATTCAGAAAAATGGAACAAAGAATAAGAAAATTTACGAAATAATTAAGAACCGATTTGATTGTTCAAGGAATTTAGGAACAGTTAAGGATTTCGATTTGATCAGTGGAGGGATTTTAGAGAAAGTTAAGAATTTTGATTAAAGTATTGAACAATTTTAGAAGTAGTTAAACATTTTGTATTAAGGGTTTCGACTTTATTATTGGGAAATTTCAGAAACAGCTAAAAATATTCGACTTAATTATTTGGAAAATTTCAGAAACAGCCAAAAATTTCGATTCGATTATTGGGAAATTTTAGAAACAGTTAAGGATTTCGATTTAACTATCGAAACAGTTTAGAAGTAGTGAACAATTTTGAATTTGATTTACTCTAAGATTTAACTGTTATTCGCTCTAATCTACTGAAGTAAAACTGCTGAGCTGTTGAGGTTTTTAGGCCGTCATGGAAAATAATTCATTTTCCTTGAAAGATGACGACGAATTTTTTCCACAACGTCTTAAAGCACCAAAAACTGAACAGTTTCAAGAAAAGACCCTGATCTCTATTGAAGTGAATTCATAAGCTAAAAACATTTAAAACAAGCATTATAAGCTCAGTTGTTTCTTGTGTTTTTCACTCAGCAACTTTTCCACGCCAATTTCAGCCTTTGTTTCTTCTTCAGTTAATCCGGCGTATGAATAAAATGGTTCTTCCACTTATTCAGCTCCATTTTCTTACAAATCATCAAAGCTTGGCTGATCATCAGCTCCGTTTTTCGTGTCGCGTTCAGCATTTTACGACACTCACATGCTTTCAAATGATTAAATGAATTAATAGGAATGGGTGTGTACACACTGGATGGAATCAAAGAATCGGTTTTTTTGTATTGAAGTGTGTAATTTTTGTTCTTTTTCAAGCCTTCAAAGGTACATTTGGCCAAATGTACCTTTGAAGGCTTGAAAAAGACCAAAAATTACACACTTCAATACAAAAACACCGATTCTTTGATAAAATGAAGCCAACAGTGGAAGCACTTTGTTTCCCCTAAGCTCCTTTTTTGTTTCCGGAATGAATAACTTTTCGATCCAGCGATTCAAGTGTAAAAGTAGCAAACGGTGGCGAACGAACCGTTTTAAAAGCTGGGCAATCATCAGCCAAAAGTAAACGTTCCCTACAACTTTTCTTCAGTTCTTCATCTCTTTCAAGATATTCGTCTTTGTGCCGCTTTTAAGCGTCTAATTTTGGCGCAAAATTTATATGAACTTTTCGTTTTCCGTATCAAAGTTCTGGGCTTCTACTGCTTGCATCTGCTCAACTCTTCCTTCTACATTTTACAGAAAATCGTCCTAATCTTGCGATTTGTCGACAAAATCGGACTTTTAGGAAGCACTTTTCTAGCGCAAACGAAAGCGTTTTTGATTCAGCTAAAGCTGAAGCTATTACAAACTTCCTCGAGAACATTTCGTGACTGTAAAAACAGTAACTTCGTTAGTTCTGCATGTTTTAATGAAAGAACGTTCTTGAAATCCTCATAATTAGACTCACTCTTGTTTGTGACTTCACTATCATTTTCTTCGTGCGAAAAAACATGCTACAAGCCCACAGATAAGATTCAATTCAGGACAAACGGGTTTTAATGTCAGCTGCAAAAAGTTGCACAGAAACCCAAGTCCTGATCAGAGCCAAAAACACATGGTTCTGGACAGTTATAGAAGGCGAAAACTACGAAGATTGACACCAGATTAATAGAGGAAAGATAATCTAGATCATCTCCAACAGAAGAAGAGGATTCTCTCAAACCGTCCAGGTTATCACAACTTGTGCATCAATACTGATAAATTCCATTAGTGCAGTGGGAGTTCTTGAGTGAAACACCTCTGAGGATGGAAGTCACTCTTGCTCTCGAAACGTCGGGATGAATTGGATCGGTTTCAAGCAATGGCCGCAAAAATAGGCCTCTTGTAGCAAGGAAATGCGCTTAATTGATCGTCTGCTAACAGCTCAGTTTGTTCAACATTTCTTCTCAGTTCCATTTCAATAGCGTTTTGTGTTTCTCTAACTTTTCAACTCCCTGATTGTTTTTTTATCGTTAATCATTAATTTTCAGCTGGCATTCAATAAAGCACTTTTTGCTCTCAAACATTTTTTTCAAACTCAATAATAGCAAAAGACGCGTTTTTATCAACCAAAGGTAAACTTGCTTAAAACATTTTATCCAACTTGAAAAACATCGCAATTCAAGTTTTTCATTGTTCTTCGATTAACCAGCCTATTGTTCAAAAATGTGGTCACCTGAGAAGATATTTACATGCGTTTTCACGGTCATTATTATCATCTTCATTTATAACAGCTTGTTGCACAAAAACCTCGCTAAATCCAAGCAAGTTTCTTTTTTAGATTGTCCTCTGTTCTGTGTTTTTCGTCCTTTGGACTCCAGTCTAGTATTCTTCTCCTCCATGTATTATCTCTTTAGCTTAAGTGAGCGTCTCCTTCAATTGTATCCGTTTGTTCTTCGTCTTTGGTTTCTAAATTCCAGCTTTTACTCTCTTCCATAACTCTTGTCCCCCAGTTATTGTTGTTTCTGATATCGGCTTTTGTTCGTCTTTGTGCTCCTCTTTATCTTGCTGGTGCTTATCAGATTTATCCAATTCTTCGTATTTTTGGAAAGTTGAACTTCGATTCCCGGTTGCTTCACGCAGTGTTTGCTTTGAGCGGCGTCCCCAATGTTTCCATTTGGATCCTCGAGCTTACTTGTATCAGCGTCTTTTAACCAACAGTTTATTTCGCGTTGTCTTTAGATTTTTCAGCAGTTTTGTCATCAACTTGGTAACTTGGTAAGTGGATGTTAGCAACAAAAATTATGCAGGGTGGAGCGGGTTTTTGGTATCAAACATTAACAGTCTGTAGAAAGTGTTTTTCGTATGAAACCAGTTATAAACATATTTTCTAAATTGCTTCATTTTACGGTTAATCGGATAAAAATCGCCCAGTAAAAGAGTTTCTTATCTCGAAAATGCATTCCAAACCTTGAACATCAAAATATAGTGTTTCTCACAAACCTAAGCATATTTTTAAATCACTTAATGCCCATTTTAGTTGGAGCATTTATATCAGCGTTCTCGGTGCCGAAGAACTGGTACAGACTGAGATCAACCACCTCGAATCCAGACCATCGCAAGCTGCGCTCGATTCAAGGGATGAGGTTTTACACCATCATGTGTGTGGTGGCTATTCACACCATCATGAACCATTTGGGGGGCCCGGTAGCTAATCCCCAGTATACGGAAAATGTGAGTGAAATGTGAAACATTCCCCAAGTCCTCTTCAATGCGCGACCATTTTTCCCCAGATAACCAAACCTATCTTGAACATGCTGCTGATAAACGGTTGGTATGTGGTCCAGACTTTCTTTGTCATTTCCGGCTGGTTGTTGGCCTACCACTTCTTCATGGAAACTTCCAAAATACCCGACTTAAAACTGAGTTATCTCGTCTGGATAATTTTGCAAAGATTCGTTAGGTGAGTGGTACTTATCCACTTTTTAGACCGAATGAAGAGTGTGGGGTGCGTTAATTGCAGATTGGCTCCTGCCATTGCTGTTATGGTGGGCTTCCATGGCACCTGGCTGGTTCATATGGGCAGAGGACCGTACTGGGACCAGTTTATTGGCGAAGAGACCAGAAACTGTCGCAAAAATTGGTGGACTAATTTGCTCTTTGTCAATAACTACGTTGATAAGCTCAATATGGTAAGACTATTCTAACATCTCTTGGGTGTAGAAGAAAAAATCCCGTGGTTTCTTTATTTTACACTGCATATTGTAGAAAAAAACGCTAGCGAACCCTGATGGAACACTGAAGTTTTCTATTCATTTCTGAACTAGGCATTAAATTTGCAATTCGATCCCAATAGTCGATCATTTATCAGTAACTGTAAGAATGGCTGTTAGAGGAAGAAATAGGCTCTCTTGTCTGCCTTAAAGGTTCCTTAGCTGCTCAGATGTATTTGCTACAAATTACCAAATTTGAAATCTTTTAACTGATTTTTTGATTTTTTTTAAAGAAAACCAGTATTTTTTTGATTAACAAATTATTTGGATTTTTTCTGCGCCTTAACATTACTTATTGCTTAAAACCGTTGTGGTACATTTCTAAAATGGGCTGGTTTAGAAGAAGGCAACTTTTGTGCGTAAATTTGGGAAGCCACTACTGAATTTTTCTCGCTGTGCCCCAAAAATAAACCGCATTTTCCAAAGCCTTCAGCAGAGATTTCATTCTTTGCTTCATTTTTGCCACGCAAGAATGCTGGCATTGATCAACAGATAATTAGAAAAAAGCCGGAACAAATGAAGAAGTCCACTCTGTTGCACACACATTTTTACATTGAAATTCTTCATTTGCTTTTCGCCACAGTATTTTTCGTCAATCCGATCCAAATATTTTGAACTTGATGATTTGAACTGATCGGAAACTATTAGATTCCTCCAATAACCTTCCACCCCGAAAGATAATTCTGGGGCCAACTGTTGAGCAAAGCGCTTCTATTCACGTTCATCCCTTAAATTGTCTCAGATGGATATCAAAAGACGCAAAATAGGACTCAAATAAATTTGAGAAAAATTGTTTTCGTCTATTAAACAACTTGAAATTTGATCAGTTGTAAAAAATATATGTGAGAAGCGAGTGAAACTTAAAAATAAGAACAAGAAAGCCGACTTCTCCGTCTAACAGCCGACGAAAGCCGCATGTTGCTATCTCTTACCGTTTTTGAGACACTAATTTCGAAAATACCAGTTGCAACTTGCCATGTTAATGCCAAACTTTTATAGTCGGTAGCACCTTTATGCGACACCCTGTATATTTGGAAAAAATAATTTTCTAGCAAATGCGGATCGCAAAATCGAGATCCCGCGGTATTTTCATGTTATGCCCATTTCTCTTACTTTTTAGACGTAATGAAACCATGTCATACTGGGACACTCTGTATTTCTTCAACTGATACACCCAGTATATACAGTGCGTCCCAGAAGTAATGTGGAAATTCATTTAAAAGGCAGCGGATCGTTTGTGATTTTTTCAACCAAACCCATTTATACAGAGCGGTCCAAAAATAAGTCACGACCATCAACTAATGCTTCAAATAGAAGCACCTGCTTTTATTTCAATTTTGCATTCTCTATTGAATTCTAGCAGGGCAACACAACCTTGTTTTATGCAAATACCGATCAACAAGTCTGCGAAAAATGAATTTAACATGGAACAGCACAAAATGATGATACGAACGAAAACTCAACAGAAAAAACACAAAGCCATATAAGAGTAGAGACATATTTAAGCTCCTTGTAAAACTCTCTAAAGTGAAAGTTTGGATACTTTTATCCCGAACTTTCATCAATAATGCTTTGAAATTTGCCATGTTAAATGCGAGTTCAAGAGATTTAAAGCCAAGTTTCGGACGGGACGATTTTTTGGCGGTTTCGGATATCTTTATGAAATTCTTTATTTTGGACACCCTGTATGTGGTGTTTTTCTTTAAAAAAATGGTATTAGTATCTATAGGACGTATTAGGCGATTTTTATGAAGTTTTTACAGTAAATCGCCAAATATTTGTTGTTAGGGAGTTAATTTCTAAGGAGAAATACCTGAGAGGAGTAACAGTGAGTCAACTGGTTAGTTTCGTTAYCTTTTTTTTAAGTAAAGCAACTAAAAGTACGTTTTCCTATGTAAGATTTTTGAAAATCAGAACAAGAAAAAAATATATCTGCAAGGTAAATTATTGAAAGACCAAACATTTTTTGAGATCGTTGAATTTTTAAATAACGTTTTTGATGTTGAAATCCAAAAAAAACACGTTTTTCTGTTCAATTGGAAGCCTGCCAAACGAACAGAAATTTAGAAAAAAATGTAACAATTTCCACCCTTTCTCTGAAGTATTTAATTTTCGCATATACATAGAGCCAAAAAAATTATTGAACTCGATAATGCTTCATTAGTGTTTGCTTCATAGTTCTAAACATTTTTTCTRTTGTGCAGTRTGCCGGAGAAAGAAAAATTACGAMATTTTCRGAAAATATTGGCTTTTTATGACTTCCCTTGCTTCTCTTAGCTGTGGTGTCGCGCAATTGCAGATTCTGCCCAACATCTGCWGTTTTTGTGCTTACCCTCTTAAAAAAACGCTTTATTGCTCGTTTCTTACTTTGGTATTTGTCCTGCAATGCTYTTAATTTGTTTTCTCTTGTGTTGCGTGCGGAAAAGAATCGATGTGAAACTTTATAAAAGACTAATTAAATCATATTTGCATGCATTGTGTGTTTTTATACATACGTTTGAATCCAGTTTTCTTTTATTTGCTTCGCTTACTTGCGGTGTGGCGCTTTTGAAAATTTGGCTAACTTTTGGTCCTTTTGTGTGAAAAAACGCGATTTTCTTAGTGTTTTAGTATGCGTTTTTAATTGAATTATTTCATTAAGATCTAATGTGGTCAGTTAACTTTTATTTACTCCGATTTTTAGTTGTTGCGTACCTATTTTAGTTTTCGTCGCTGTCGAATTTCTGAATGAAATTTTTTAATTGTTGAGTTGAATATTTTTTGTGGATTTTTGAATTTTTTTTGCAAAAATGGTTTTTGAATCGGGATTTTTTGAATCGTATGTTATTGTCTAATTTATCGACTTCATCTTTAATTGTATATCTTTTTTATATTTTCAACTGTTGTCTCTGCTTTGTTTACCTTTGCAAATGCACAATTTAGTACAAATTCTTTAAATTTGTATTTTTTTCGTTTGCTCACATTCTAGTCTGTCTATAGATTTGTGGCATATTTTGGTATCCATCGTTATGGGAAGACGATACAGAGCTGGCTTGAAAGACAATTGTGGACTTTGATGGCAAGAGAAGCAGAAAACCGTGGTTAACAAACAAAACAAAATAACTTGMAAAAAAAAAGAAGCTTACTTAAAATGCATTAACAAGAGAACACCGAACGAGTACGAGAGGTAACATTGTTAGAAATCGAACAAACAGCAATATAAGACAACTGAAAAACTGAAAGACAACTGAAAAGCTGAACTGGATGGAGCGGTCAAAAAAAAAGTTGGAAAAAAACAGATCAATGAAGAGGTGAAAGTGAACGATATTAAGTTCAAGCGATAACAGAGAAGTTGAAAACCCGAAAAACTCCTGGCCTGGTTGACAGTATCAGTACTAAACTGACCAAATTCTAAGGAGTTTGACTACAGAAAGAACCCCAAACAAATGGAAAGCAAGAATATCCATCTTTATACATAAAAAGGAGAGAACGGCAACCAAAATCATCGCAAAAGGATTCACAAAAAAGTGACAATATTCGAAGAACAGCAACATTTAGGTCCAATAGATTAACTGTGGACGAAATATTCATATTGAGTACGCAAATGATAGAAAAATTGGTAGAATCTAACAAGCTCATCTTTGTCGGTTTTGTGGATTTAACCAAGGCATTCGACAGGGTCCGGCTGGATGACGCAAACAATATTTTATGCCAGAACAGCATCGATTACAGTTATCAAAGAATCACACAAGAAATCAATGAAGATTTAAAAAAAAGTGAGCGCTGGTTACAAAACCGGTAATCGCGCCATTGAAGTATTATGTTATGCAGACGATGCAATCTTCATAGCAGAGAATGAAGACGACTTGCAAGGTCTGCTATTCAAGACGAAAGAAACCGCATATAAATTGAACATGAACATCGCTAAAGAGCCCACAAATTGCAGCAGGTGAGAAGACTCTACAACCTGGAAGTGCAGGCATCAAGCGAGGAAACCTTAGTGAAGAAGAACGAACACAACGCATATGAAAGCGACAAGTGTGAGCGGATATAATATGGAGAAATAAAATGATGAGTACAAAGAGCAAGCTGAGAATTTACGAAACGTGCGTGCGGGACCCATAATAAGAGTGACCCTCTAGAGTATGAAAGCTGGAGCTCGGCGTCCCGAAGAACGCTAAACGCAGCGGAGTAAACAGGCCTCGCAAGTCCAATTATTAGAAAAACTTGGGCCATTTACCGCTTGACAATATCTAAGGCTATAAAAAACTTTTTTGCATCTTAAAGTCAATAAAATTGGTGGTGGTGACTTATTTTGACCCCCCTATTTAAATAAATTTGGTTAAAAAAATGCATTTTCGTGTTTTGTTTCAGTGTTTGCAGCAAACGTGGTACGTGGCAGCTGAAATGCAGCTGTTCGTTGGCGCTGTTTTCGTGCTCTATTTTGTTAAAAAGTATCCCAGCTTGCTGAAGTACGCATTTTCCAGTATGTGCTTTGTGGGAATCCTGATTCCTGGCATTATCGCCTATGTGAATAAGTACGATATTATCGTGCGCCAGTATCCAGAGTGAGTTGCTTATTGGGCGTGTGTAAATCATTGGGTTAATTGGCCAACTTTTCAGGACTATGTACAATTTGAATGCCTTAAGGCTGGAGTATTGGCATCAACTGTACAGCTCGGGGTACTCAAACATTGCCACCTATTCCATAGGGGTGATTTTTGGATATCTGTTCTACCAACATCGCAGCACAACATTCCCCATTCGAATGGTAAGTATTGAATGGGTTAAAGAAGAAATATTGAAGATGTAAACTGCCCAAGTCACGAAAGATTTATTTAAAGACATTAATCGTCAAAGTTGTCTTTCAGTGGAAAATTCTGAGTGAAAAGTACAAAAACTTCGTCTTCTTCCAAAGCTTCTCTTGCCCTGCACTTTACCTTGTAAGATGCATTTTAGGAGTTTGTATTTGGTTTCGTTTCTCATGATGAGCCCCAGATATTCCAATTTTCAACTTTTTGATGTGTATATTATTTCCTTTTATTTATTTAGTTTTTGGGTTATTCGGGGGTTTGATATTTTGTCCACCCATGATATTTGGCGGATTCGTCTATTCAGGGTGGTTTTTTAGTGCGATAGAGTCCATTATTTCCGACGGTGTTGAACTTTTGAAAAATAGTTTCATATAAAAGTTGTTGACGCACAAACTGCTCACATTTTAAAAATATCTTATATGATACAGAGTGTCTCAGAAAAGAGAGGCAAGATCAAAGTTAATTTTTTTATATAGAACTACACATTTTTCATTAGCTCATGGAATGCAGCTTGAAACGCTGCATATGCAAAGTAAATTGTTTTTTCTTACTTGCGACGTTGGCAGATTATCGCCATTTTAGTGAAATTTTGCTTAAAAACATGGTATTTAAAAATTCATTACAGAAGCAGAAAAAAGCAGTTAAAGGTTCAAAAAAAATACTCCTTTCCCATCACCACAAATCCGTTAAGAATTCCATTGAACCAAAGTATCAATACATTGTACAGGGTGTTAACAATGACTTCTTCTGATTTGTTTTTATTGGAGTTAATAACCAATTTATAGCATGACTTTGAGTGTCCCTGTTTGGATCCTTAAAATGCTTGTTTAAATTATTTGAAATGCATCCAAAATTTAGTTCCATCCGACTTTCTTTTAGGTGCTTTTTTATGGCTCAACTTGAAAAACTTATTTGTAGGTCATAACTGTACAACTTATTCGAATCTGCATGTGTGTTCATACTCCAGAAAAATTTTCCTCATTTTATTTTTCCCTCTGCTTTCATATTGTTGACTAGTGATGAGCAAAGCAAGGCCAAGACGAAGACTTGCCTGATCTTCGTCTTATAAATTAACGGCAGTCTTGGTCTTGATCTTGCATGTTAAGTCTTGGTCTTGGTCTTGCAAGACTAATAACAATAATAATAATTAAAATAAAATATAATCTCAGACTATTTTTGATAATTTGTTCTCTACTCTCGCTCATCATTATTCTTGATCAGAAACCATAATCTTTTTTTTTAATATGGAGAGCACGAGTTAACACTTGGGTTAGTTTTGCAAAATATTGCACTTAGACAGTTTTGCTTCTAATCCCTTCAATTATTCTTGCAAGGGAACGGAGTAAAAGTACACTGTATTTGTCCTATTTTCTACAGTTTTACAGGGTATTTCCGTAATTTTTAGCGTTGCATTGGAAAAAACGAATTTATGATCGATAACTTTTAAACCGCTAAATCTCTTTGAGCGAGGAAAAAATATATATTTTCTGGGTCATTCTGAAATTGAAAAATTCTCGATTTCCCCTTGTCTTCCCCCGTCAGCGAGCAGAAATGGGGGACACCATGTATGTATAATTTTCTGTTACCTTGCAGGTGCACAAAATCCTTTGGTGGATTTTTACGTTCGGAATGTGTCTCTCCGTGGTACTAATAGCGGTGGTGTTTTACGACCCCTCCTTTGTGGTGACTCCGCTAAACAGTGCCGTCTACTGGTCAGCAGGCAAAACCCTCTTCGCGCTGGGCATCGCCATCGGCATCTTCGGCTTCAGCCAGAAGATCGGCTGTTAGTACCAACTTCCGGACCGCTTAGAACCGCTAATAGCACCAATAAAATTTGCAGGGTTTGCTCGATGGTTCATCGAGTACCCTCCAGTAGAAGTACTGGGGCGGCTCACTTATAGCACCTACATCACGCACGTGGCTTATTCCCGACTGCAACTCGGCTATCGAAGATATCCAGTGGCCGCCAACGATGCCATGATGGTGGGTTGTTTGAGTTTCTGTTCTGGGTTGTTTGAGTTCTGGATTTGTTGTTTCCAGTTTTTGGCTGTGCTGGGAGACATCACTTTGGCCTATCTGACTGGAACGGTGTTTTGTCTGCTGGTGGAGATGCCGATTTCCGCGTTGCAGAAGCTGTGGAATAGTGGCGGTGATGGTAAGCCGAGGACGATGGTGCGGAAGTCGTCCGAAAAATCGTTGGAGACGCTGGATATGTCCCAGCATAACATCAATGTGTAGCCCATTAGCGCGCTTCGATCAGATTTCCTCTTCGGTCTTGTTCTTGTTCGAGGAAGAGCAAGGAGTTCATTCGATGAATATAGTCATTGAAAAAATTCTAAAAAAGCAAATCTTGCCTATCTGGCTGAAGGCTCTATTTAAGTATATGATAATTATATTTTTTTACTAAAAATATATTTACTGGATTATTCCGAATATACCACACGGAAGATTGCGGATAAACCACCTAATTTTCACAAAATATTATTTCATTTCATTGGCGCCTCTCTTGAAATGTCGGAAAACTTTTTCTATTTTGGTTTGATTGAAGGGGTATTTAACCAAGAAACGCAACAAGCACATCTCCGATTTCTCTTATTGGCAAAAAATTAATTATTAAATATCGGCGTCTACTATAGTGCTACCGCAAAAGATTTGAACACACTAAGGGCGACTGATGCGAAACTTGGGCGACTTATAAGCAACTCTGAGTTATATTCAGAGGCGCATCGGACATCTTCCAGTACGCCCATTGCCGAGAAATCCATAATCGAAAATTAGCTTCTAAGGGGAGAACGCAGTAAACACATTTGCACACGATAATTAAAAAACTGGTAAAAACTCAGCAAAAAGTGCGGTTTAGGTGATTTGCTGAACTTTCAAAAGAACATAGTTCTATCAGTGTAACAATCATTTCTGGAGTTTCTCTCGTTGTCCCAAAATAATCTGTTGAATATTAGCCTCTAACGTGATACTAGAAAACACATTTAGCCTTCAAGTTTCCCAAAATTCAAAAACATGTAAACATTTAACCAGAAGTGCGCCTAAACCGAAATTTCGCCGACACCAAGAGCCCTGAGCTCTGTTCAGTGGCAGAACAAACACAGAAAAAAATTCACGAAAATTGAGCTCGAAAGAGGTGAATACAAGAATTTAAAAAGATGTAAAACGTCTACTAAAAGTCCGATTTGAGTGAATTTCTGAACTGCAAAGCAAAAATCAACTCGGCAACTAGACAGCGTAGTCATTAGAGGACACATTGACACAAAAGTTAAATAATTTGAATACGCTTCACTAAAAATGCAACTGATTCGAATTTAGCTCTATTCAGTGGCGTAGAAAGCACTTTACCAATTTCACTCGCCGTAGGAAAATAAATTATGTAAATTTGGCTTGTAAAGGTTGGTCATAAAAGCAAACATGCACAAGATTCGTGCGAAGTGCGACTGAACTAAAATTTCGACGACTTATTTGGGGAACTTTCAGCTCTATTAAGTCGAGCAATAAACGCCATTTCGGTGCTACTTATTACTGGGAAAAAATATTGACAATTGAGTTCAAAGGGATGAACACCAGAACCTAAACAAGTGTACAAATTCAAAGAAAAGTGCGATTGAAATTAATTTCTGGAGCTTTAAAAAAATATTGAGCTTTACTCATTGAATGAATAAACAACTCAGAAATTAATCAAGTTCCAAAACTAGAGATTCAAGAACTGAAACTAATAGATTAATGAAAATTAAGTTTGAAAGGCACGTAAAATATATTTGCGTCAAGCACCTCTAAATGTGTAAAACTTCATCGAAAAGTGCCATTGAAGAGAACTTCGGACCTTTTTAGCCAAGCACTGAGTGCGTGCTCAAATCTAATCAGCGGCCCAACAAGCATCTCTTTGCTTTTTTTTATTGTCGAGAATTATAGATTCCATATCTCATAAGCGCATAAGACAGCAGCTAAATCGCTGTGGTTAGAAAACATTTTATGCAAAATTTATAAGTTTGTAGATATTAAAATCAAAAAGTGCCAACTAATGAACAATTTCTTCAACTGGTGAGGAAAAAAAATCTTGCTGGCGCTCGAACACATTTCTTAGTTGCGAGTTTTTAAAAAAATCATCGTGCAAAAACTAGGCTAGATAAAAATGAGCTTCTCGGATAATTGAAAAGAGAAAGTTTAGCTTTAAATATGGTGAAAATGTAGTTTTCCGAACAAAATCTGGTAAACATTGGAGGGGATTTGAGTCAATCCTTGATGAAGCTCTAACACATTTCCTAATTGTGCAGGTGTTTCCTCAAAAAATCATTGTGCGAAAACTACGCTAGACTCAACCGGAATTGATAAAGAATTTCAAGGAAAATTTTCGCTTCAAATACCCTGAAAGTCTCATTTCTGAAAAAAACATTGTTCAACAGTGGCGAGGATTTGATTCAACATTTGCTGGCGCTCTAACACATTCCCTAGTTGCGTAGGTGTTCTTTAAAAAATCATCACGCAAAAACTATGCTAGATGAAAATGAGCTTCTTACCTCATTGAAAAGAGCGAGCTTTGCTTTAAATACGTTGAAAAATTCAGTTTGTTGAACAAATCTGGTAAACATTGGTGCTGATTTGAGTCAATCCTTGATAAAGCTCTTACATATTTCCTGGTTGTGCAGGTGTTTCTTCACAAAAAATATTGTGCGTAAACTGCGCTAGATTCAACCGTGATTCTTAGAAAAATTTAGAGAAAAATCTTTACTTCAAATATCTTGAAAGTCTCATTTCTGGAAAAAAAATGGTCAACATTGGCGAGGATTTGATTCAAAACTTGCTGGTGATCGAACACATTTCCTAGTTGCGTAGCTGTTTTTAGAAAAAATCATCACGCAAAAAGTACGCTAGAGAAAAATTAGCTTTTTAGCTCATCGAAAAGAGCGAGCTTTGCTTTAAATACACTGAAAATTTAGTTTGTCAAAAAAAGCCTTATGACGCTCTAAAAAAACAAAATGTAGGCTGATTATGCAGAAAAAACAAACAGTTGAGGCTCAAAAAACGTTAAAGTTGAGCCATTTCCAAAAATTATTAAGTCGACACTGGATTGCCTGGGCAGTTTGTCCAGGCCTAGCTACAGCCAGTGGCTAGAAACGAGGCAAATTTGAGTGTAAATGGATTGGAGGGTGAGCTTCCAGGGAAAGACAAACTTTCAGTTGAGCCTGGCAAAAACTTTTCATGTGGCTACATTTTCAAAAAAAAAATGAAGTCCAACTTGAAGGAAGCAGCAAACCGGTCGTTAAGCACGTTTATCCAACACCCGTCACTCTGCCAGACTGGTAAGTTTAAAAACCATCGGGTGTAGACTGATTTTCTAAAAATCTTCAAAAAACTTTCATCTAAGATTGTCCAAAGTTTAAAAATCGATCCACATAAAAAACCCTTACTCCGAACTCAGATACACCAGACACTTGCTCTTCTGGTAGTTGCACTTGTTTAAACGGAGTTAGTTTCAAGCGAATCGCAGTTTTTCGCGATTTTTCAGAAAGTCACAAACTGTGAAATTCACACCACCGTTATCTGGATGTGGAAACAACAATTTGGGCTTTGTTTGGGTTAGTATTTAAAAAAAATAGCTGAAATAACTATAAAAAGTTATAAATTTTACAAATGAGTAAATGTATGAAACTAATTTTAGCTTGTTGAGTAAACTCCTAATTTTCAGTTACCTGATTCGTACTAGCAAATTTAAATTTAATTCCTTTAAACTCGGAAAAATTTGAATTTGCACGAAACGGTTTTAAAGCGTCAGAAGCATCTGGCGCTCCAGAAGTTTGGTTTCACGGTTCTGTATAAATATTACCTTCTTTTGGGTTTTCAGGTGCGAATTAGGAAACCATAACTAAACGACTTTTTTGGACTTTGCCTTTTTAGGATCAATAGCAAAACCAAATAGAATAATAAACGGTAAATGCGACTTTCATTGGACCAAGTCCGTGTGGAACACTGTTCAATAATTCAAATTTATGGATTCTACTCCCATTTGCGGACTATTTTGGGGACTTAGCTATGTAGCAACATCAACACTAATTGAAGCTGTTTAAATAACTTTCCTTAAAATAGAAAATTGTGCAAACTTCCAGCCTTAATTAAAGCAAACATCACGAAAAGAACACTTTATTAGGGGAAAACTCCGGCCTTTTTGCCGGCGATCGCATAGTAGGCAAAATCACTGAGATTCCATGGGGAAAGTACCGGCACTACAGGGCCTATAAGGCGGCGTTCGAGGGTTGTCCAGGTTATTTTAAACTATCATGACTGGGTCTACTTGATAAAACCCCTTGCAACCGTTCAGAAATGACCAATTTCAATTCCACCTAGATGACTATGGCTGATTGTCTCAAATCAATACGGCTTATAAATAGGTAATCTCTAATAGCGTGAGCAGTAAAGTATCTGGTATTATTTGCAATTTTTCCATTATGTCCCTAATAAATCACAGTCATCTGACGACCAAGCAAACATGTAGAATACCTGATTGCTTTTTCAGCTAATTTTCAACTGTACATAGCACATTCCTGCTGCAAAGCCTGCAAACCAGGCCAAGAGAAATGTGCGCGCATCTAAGCCGCTGGTAAACATTGCATCGGTTCACGTGCTCGATTCCGATCCAAGTCAGTATTCTCGTTTCTCGTCAACAACGACGAGTCATTGACTAATTAATGTGCTAACAAGTGCGTAAGTTCGGAATATCCACAATGAGCTTCAGCAACATCTGCCTAAGTGAACCCTTTACGTTCCTCAACCACATCAATCCTCATTATCTGTTTTATTCCATCATAATCGGCACATTTGCCAGCTTGTTCGGCCTGGTATGGATCCTCAAGACATACACCTACTTTGAGAAGCAGAAGGTCACTAGAGGCTCCCTGCCAAAGTTTCCGTTTGGCAATTTCCGCGAAATCATCAAGGAAAACACTTCCTTGCACACGTTTTTATGGAAGTACTACAACAAGTTCAAAAGGAAGAATTTGCGCTTTGGAGGGCTGTTCCTCCTGGTCAGGCCTGTGATTGTAGCCGTGGATCCTTCAGCAGCCTCCAACGGAACTTCATTGTTTCCCAAAGAGTGCAAGCTCAAACCTCAGGAGGCTGCAGCTCTACTGAACCACGATGTCTCCAACTGCTTTATCAAAAGCTTCAACTCTTCAGTGAAAGCAGCCATTCCTGAAACCCTCCTCAAGTCGGATGCAGCCACAGTCCTCAAAGACTACCTATTGGAGTCCACGTGTTTGCTCTTTGGCTTCCAAGCTCCTCAACTGGTGGAGGAAATCAACGAGCTGCTCGAGGAAAACTTTGCCACATCCCTCAAGTTCTACCTGCGTTTATGCTTTCCAGTGCTGCAGAAGTTTCAAAGCCCCCCAAAGCCCCACAAGCGGTTGCTGGAATTGATGGAAGCCCGGAAGAAAAACGACTCGGAAGCCAATGATCTGATCGAGGCCTTTACATTGCTACTCAACGGATCCGATTACACAGTCGATGACATTGCAGAAGAAGTGTTTAATGCGTTTTTAGACACTCTAAGCTATAGTTGTTCGTCGCTGTTGTTTTGCTTCTACGAATTGGCCATTAACAGTGAAACTCAGCAGGAACTGATAGGCGAAATTAGGCGGTTTAATCAGAAGAATGAGGCCTTGACGTGTGAGAACTTAGGCCGGATGGAGTTTTTAAATGCCACTATTAAAGGTATGTATTGGACTGGTTAGGGGAATTTTAGAGCAAGCGCAGTTTTGAAGTAATTAAAAAATATCTGACTAATGTTCCAAAATTAGCCGGAGAATTTAATTGAATTTTTCTCGCAGTGTTGAGAGAGTTTTACGCCTGCGGTAGACAAATTTTCATGTAAATTGAAGTTTGCTTTGATTTTTTAGAAGCCATCGAACATCCTGAAGGATGATACTCAGATAGGGGTTTGAAAATTGCATGAGAACTGAAAAAAAAATGTAAATTCAAGTTGAGTGGTCTTATATACTTGAAATTCGCTCACAATATAGAGGGTTTTTGTCGTAGGAGATGGAGAAAGTTTCATTTACGTATATACAGTATTTACCGATTTTTTGGAAGGTATTGAACGTCTGGGCGCATAGAAAGCACCGGCTCAAAATTGCACGCGAACTAAAAAAATTGTAACTTTCAATTGGGTAAAATCAACTACTTGCAATTGTCTCCCAATATAAAAGGGGTTTCAAATAGCAGATGGACAGTTTTATTTAAATTGGAGTTTCCATTGATTTTTCAGAAGTCATCAAAGAAAAGTGTTAAATAAAGGAACATTTGAAATTTGCCCACCAACTAACAAGAAAAAGGGTGAAATTGCGACAACAAATTTTCTTGAAAATCTTCTACATTAAGCTCCAGATACACAAAGTTTCAATTGAATCTCAGCATCCGCGAATTTTTTAGGAATTTTCAAACATCAGATTCAGATAATCGAATTTTTGAAATTTGCGCATGRGCTGAAAACACTTCTAACTTCGAATTGGGGCAAAKATTCTACTTAGTTTTTCTCCCGACTCTCAASGAGATTTCACGCATTACTGGGCTCAAATCTCACTTYAATCAGCTAATTGATTGATTTTTCAGAAACCTTCAAACCTTTGGCTAATATGAACAATTTGTTTACAAATTTTCACCGACCAAAAAATGTTGGCTGCTAAACCAGTGGCAGTTGTAACTTAAGTAATTTCTGTAAATTTTAATAGGGTTTATCCAGTGCAAATAAAAATTACTCAAATTGGCGTCTTCCTCAAGTTTTTAGAAGCCCTGAAACTTCAGCCCTGTGGAAGAGAATAATTCAAGTTCCATATCAACTAATTATTGAAAATTTATGTATGTTGAAAACAATACAAGTCAAATCAGCTCAAACTTTTTTCCACAATTTACAAAAATATTTCAGCTCTACATGGGCTGATTCGCACTGAAATGGTAGAAACTGTAGACTTTTTACAATACCTCAAACTTTAGGGTGCAACAGCTGAAGAAATGCTTTCAACTTATTTAGCTTATTATTTGTTACGCCGTAGGCAGAGGTTTAAGCTCCAAATGGACAACGTTTCACTGATATTTAAGTATTTATTGCTTTTTGAGAAACACTAGAATCTCAGGCGTTATGAGAATGTCAGATGATCAATAATGCCCGATTCCTAAAAAATGTAATTTCGAGCTCAAGCGCAGAATCTCCTTGAAAGTTTTTTGCAGTGTAATGAAGTTCTAAAGCTACATGCGGACAAACTTTCACTTAAATCAGGGTTTTTGGGAAGTTTTCATGAATCTTCAAAGCTCTGGCTCAAATAATCCAGGTTCGAAAGTTGCACTCGAAATGCACAAACATTTCAACTTCGAGTTGGTATGAAAGATCTGCCAAAGTTTTGCTCAGAGTATAAAGAAAGATTCAGTTTCTAGATGCAAGAAGTTTCACTCATATCCAAGATTCCATAGAGTTTGAACGAGGCTTCAAACCCCAAGCTCAATAGAACAAATTGTTTAAATTGGGTACGGACAGAAACAGTTCTAATTCTGAATTCATTAATAGAATTTGCATTAAGTTTTTGCGCAATATAAAGGAGTTTTAAAGTTGTGCCTTCAAAAGGTTTCCCTCATATCCAACAAAATGGTTCGATTTTTAACCCATATTCAGCCAATCATCGAGTTTCTAGAAAGATTCAAACCTCAAACTCAACTGAAGCATTCTTTTGAATGGACCAAAAACCCTTGGAACTCGCCATCCAACGTAGAATTGTCTTTAACGTTTTACACATTTTAAAAGAGGTTTTATAGTATGCTTGCTAAAAGTTTCACTTAGTTTCAATTATTAGTTGATCTGAAAATGCTTCTAACTTTGCACCGAGTGAAATATTTTGCTGTACGTTTTTTCTGGGCATCAAAGAGGCTTGCAAGTATCAGACGAATAAAGTTATTTTTAAATCGAAGTATCCATCAAGTTTTCAGAAGATTTGAAAACTTGGCGCCGAGTAAACGAATCATTCAAGCGTATACGTAGACAAGCAAAAACACTCAGCATTAAGTGCAATAATGTAGTCGATTTTTTGTATACACAGTGTACTGAATATTTTAAGTCCCTCTTGATCAAAGTTTCATTTTAATATAATTGGAATTTGCAGAAATCTTCAAACATCAGTCTCACACGACCGCATTTTTTAATTTAGCTAACGGTCCAAAGAATCGAACTTTAAATGAGTGAAAGAATCGTGTCGAGTTTTTACTGTAGTTTTCCCTATTTTTTGCAGTGGTTTTGAGGACTATTTCAGCTTTGATGAACGAAATTTCACTACAATCGAAACTTCCGTTAATTTTTCACGGGACTTCAAACGTACGCGGATAATTTCAAAAGTTGTATCACTACGAATTTAGTGAACGATTTCACTCCGCATTAAACGAACAAGGTTTCATTGAGAATTAAGAACGCATTTATTTTTGGAAAATATGGAATGAAAATTTGTTAAATTCAATCCGCACAAAAAACACTTGTAACTCTGAATTCAGGAATAGACCGTCCGTATACTTGAAGTCTGAAATTGCACTTGCAAAAGTTTCCTTGAAATCCCAGCTTCAACCGGTTTGTTACTCGTTATCAAACTTAAGCAGGCTTGAATTAACCTACTAAAATGAGAATCTTCAAGTGGAGGACAAAACCCTCTGGCACTCTGAACTGAGTAAATTTTTAAATTTCTGGCTTACTAAACTTGGAAGAATTATAGTGATGTAAAGTGTAACGCAGTACGAGAAACACTTGAACTTTGAACTGACTTCAGGAATCCGTTTGAAACTTCGCCGAAGAAAATCAGGTCTGAAGCCCTATTTGAGACAACTTTCACTACAAACTAAGTCTAACTGATTTATTCCACTGTTTTCAAATTTCAGGCTAAAATTTACGAAAGTGATGCACACTCTGTACGGTGCAAACGGGGACGAAAATTCTTTTAACTCCGAATTAAATCAATAAATGTGCGCCAAATTTTCGCTTGATATAAAAAAGGTTCTAACCTCTATCTGGTTGAAATCTCACTCAATTCAGAGCTTCAACCAATTTTTCAGCCGCTTCTAAACTGCACTATTTTACGACTCTCAATTGACCAACTAAACTAATACACTGAAAGGATAATTTCCACTCTACAATCTGTTCCGTATTCAGAAACATTCCGAAAGTACCCGCCGGTATCCACCATCATCCAGCAGAGCAAGGACTTGGACTGGAACCCGGACAAAAACGGCCTGATTCTCCAGTCAACCCTGGGTATACACAGAGACCCTCAATTCTACACCAAACCTGAAGCTTTCGAACCCGATCGTTTTATGGACAGCATCCCAGTGAATGAAGACACTTATCTGCCCTTCGGGGTGGG